ATCAGCCTTGATCGATAAAACTAAAGTTGATGTTATTTCTTTGTTTCACGATCTATTTGTATGTTTGTCCTATCCCTTCATTGCATGAAGAAACTCACGTACCACTGTTGCTGCTACGAGGTTCTGAGAGAAGACACTCGGAAGGACATGGTGCTTGCACGCAGATGGCGATAAGAAAGACTATCTCTCACCCCATCTAGAAATGATTTCACACTTTCAAAAATTAGAACGCTGCTTCTTACAGAATATTTGAGGTCGCCTTGCACCTACATGTCGAAGAACGTCGTAATATTCTTCAACACAGGCGATTGCAGAAGAATTTGTCACGGGAGCTTGGATCATGGCGCATGATCAGAGTTCAAATCAATGAGGCCCTCGACGGACGGACTATTACGGCGTTGTCCGGAATCCTGGTCTGTAGAGGTCTTGTTTAGTCGCTCCACTGTCTCTATGGGGTAGTTAGTTGCTATGGGGTACATTTCGAGAATATTTTCCGGGGCTTAAGACTCCCGCCAACTATGGCACTACAGGGGTGGTCACAAATCGAATTATGATCACAATGTGTAGAAAACCAGCCTCGAGTTTGTTCCAATCATTTTGAAGTAGTTTTCTGATCCCATCGACCTTCCTTCGACTACAGGAGCAGCTATTGGTATTTCCTACACTCCGTACAGAGTGATCCAGTAGGTTTACGCAGAGGAATTCAGGATGCCCCAAAACTAATGATCTCTGGACAGCCTAGCTGGCAACAGCCTTCTGCAGATTTCGTCTTTTGCAGGGCTCCACAGAAATGTTGTATGTTCTGTCTCTTATCTTTATCAGATGAAGTGAACAAGAACCATGTGGGTTTAGCAACTCCGGGCGAGAACAAACCTCCAAACAAAAAACCAAACAAAAACAACTAGAAGAAGAGTGGCAATAATCAAGAAGCACAAATGGAGAAATCTGTAGTCACTGGTCTTCTTGCCAAAACTTTGAAGGTTTTCAGAGAAAGTGTATGTAGTCCCCAGTACGGTGTATGTTGTAACTTTAGTTGTAATTTCAAGACTGAAGAAGCTGCTAATACAGCGAAAGCTTGCCAATAAAGCTATATGAATGAGTCCTCATTACTAACTCCCAGAAGAAGATCAACTAGTATTGTTACTCTTTTCTTTGGATCCTTGATACCAGTGCTTTTGTGGTCACCCCTACCTCACTGAGGAGCCTCTAGGATGTGACGTGACGGCAGACAGTGGTTCGTCTGAGGTAGAGGCGAAACGAACCACTTCTTTAGTTGACCTATTTCTTATCACTACATCTTCCTTCTTTTTTGTTATTCTTACAAATTGGTCCTACATTGCCTATTTTTTTCCGTCGAGTGAGATGCGCCGTGGTGTGCGCTACTCAATTCGAGTATAAGGTTAAGCAGGGGCGAAACTGCTACCGCGTCAGCTTTTCGGAAAAATATTCTCAGTAATTGCAGGTGATCCCGGGGTCCAATACTTCTCTAACAAGTCCAGAAGAAGCAGTGAAGATGGTAAAGGAGTTTGGAACTCCGGTTATTCTAAAGCCTGCACATGGTACTGGTAAACAGGCAATGCAGTATGTGCACGATATTCAACAGGTTGGCAGAGGTTAGCAGCTCGGCTCAAACTGTTTCACGCTTTTCAAGATACCGGAGGCGTTCCTGTTGATGTCCAACACTGCGAAGAAATTGTTTGGAGATGGTTCAATCATTGTGAGAAATTTATCGATCAGCCCAGGTGAGATTGATTTAGCGTAGAAAGTCGTGAGCACAATGAAGACGTTGTGAACGAGTGTATTTATTGAGATAATCTTCAATGTTAAAGGTTCCGTGATTTGATGAATAGTTTATCGAATTCAGCACGCTCTGAAACTATAGTAAACTTTGTTGTACAAACCACTATAAGCTATAAACGGTTCCATAAGAAAATTTGAAAAACTCCCCTGTTTCAAAAGTATAAAGCCACCCCGGGCGAGTAGGCATCAACGGTAAAATTTGTTCTTTCTGGTAATTCATTTGGACAGAATTTGTTCTTTCTGGTAATTCATTTGAAGTTCTGTGGCCATACCTAGCACAACACATTACGTCTTCAATATATCTCGACGGATCTACGTTTTCTATTGAAGAGCAAGTTCGTGCGAGGACGTTACATGAAGCTGGCCACTTCAAATCGCTCCATAGCTGCTCAACTTGGCCGTTCTCATAGCTGTATCGACAAGTTTTTGAAAAATCCAGCTTATATGGAAAGAAGAGATCTCTGGAAGGCCACGAGTACTGCCGAACATGATATCCGCCATATTAACGATCCCTTTCCAATTCTACTGCGACCATCAGTCAGATCCGATACGAGCTCTCCCTTTTTGCTTCGAAAAGTTCCATCTGGAGGGTCGCTAACTCTGCTCCAAATATCGTGCGACAATCCATGATGAAGACTCCACGTCCGGAACAGCATCACAAAGCAGCTCGTCTCGAAACATGCGAAAGAGTTGGGGTTCGGTAGGTGATTCTACAGGGTAGGGAGGCACTTTCATCATGACGTTTAGTTAATGGTTTGTTGTGTTCAGGTTCATTTTCTCTGACGAAAGAAGTTCAATTTGGACGGGCCGGATGGTCATCACAGATTCTGGAGAGATTTTAGCAAAGATCCGCTGGTATTTAGCAGGAGAAACTTCGGTGGTGGCGCACAGATGGTCTGAGCTGCATTCTACAGCGATGCTGTGCTCCCTCTGTCTTTCGTCTCGTGTCAAATGGACCCCAGTGAATAATCAGGATGCTTCTTTCTGATCTTCTCTCGTTTCTGAAGTCGTCGGCAAAACTTCATCTTTATGCACGATTACGCCACCATCCATCGCAGCCGGTCCACTCAACACCGGGTTTACGTCAACAAAATCAGTGTACTGGAATGGCCTGCCTAGCAGCCTAGATCCAAATCCAATAGAAAAACATCTGGGGATTATCGTCAGACAGATTTACGCAGATGGAAAGCAGTACAGTAACGTGGAAGACCTCAGACATGCCATCGAGACGTCCTGGTACCACTTGGATCCTGCTAAACT